CTCTCTCTCTCTCTCTCTCTCTCTCTCTCTCTCTCTATCTATCTATCTATCTATCTATCTATCTATCTATCTATCTATCATCTATCTATCTATTATTATCTATCTATCTATCTATCTATCTATCTATCTATCTATCTATCTATCTATCTATCTATCTATCTATCTATCTCTATTTATCTATTATCCATCTATCTATCTATCTATCTATCTATCTATCTATCTATCTATCTATCTATCTCACGATAATTCATAGTTACATAAGAACTAATTATTTAAAATGAAATAAAATGTCTATAAAAAAGTGGAGAACTACGTTGGTTGTGTATATCTGTTGATAGAGGACGAGAAAAAAAGTATAGTCATCAGATTCTTCAGAAATATGATTATTTATTATAGTCGTATCTTTGATACGACTTACTTTTTTCTCATTTTTTTTTCTACAGTCTTAAAGAATAAAGAAATTCAGTGACTATAAACAAAATGAATGAAGAAAAAATGTTCACTGTTGCGTTTCACTGAGTACAGTGTTGCCCTTCAAAAGGCAGCTTGCATTTAAAAAATAGCAAAGTGCCCGATGACGAGCCGCATCGTAATCAGCTCAGAATTATTTAGATTTTAGAATATTCTTGTAACAATATTGTAAAAGAATGCAAGATATTCTCCATTTGGTGTACATTGTCACTGTTTAACTTCCAAATTCAAACTTTTAGCACTTCACATACTGAATATAATACTTTTGTCACATTGTACACAATTATATTGGAATTTCCATAATTAAAGAAAGATTCAAACGGAAACTAGCTTAACCAATGATATAAACTTTAGGAAAGGTGCCTTCTGACTGAGTATTTTGTGAAATTCAAACAGAAACTTTATAACTACTGAAACTTCTACACCCACAGGATGTTGTAGTTTAGAGATTAATTCAGCCATAAGAGGAAACAGGAAGGGGCGGATAGCTGCATAAGATATCACCTTAATAAATGTAATGCTAAGTGCAACAAAAGATGTGGAAATCTTAGATATTTTCTTTTTCCATGAATTTCATGCTAGAAAATATAAATATTGTAATTTTTTATAATTTTATCTTCGATTTCTCGTTATCATATTGATAATATGAATCATATTATATTTGGAAGTTTAACATACATGTATATTAAAGTCATAAATTAGATTATAAATTACTTTAAAATATTATTGAAACTTTGATTTAAATTTGGATATAATATTTATATTTAATGAAATGCATACTTAAATTAATGTGTACAAGGCAAATCAACACTTGAATTTCTTTCAATAATACTATTATCACAACTAAACGAAAATTAATCTCCACTCTTCAATTTCACTTAAAATATTATAAGAATTATTAAGAAGCATGAGTTAATAATCTAAATCTATTTAAAGTTGCCACATAAGCAAAAATAGATACTCCAACTATTCTGGATCTTCCTCTTTACAATCTTAATTAGTTCTCAATTAAAAATTAGGTCAATTGAAATTGAAGAGAAAAATTTCTGAGTAATTTTCTTTTTTATATAAATATTATATAATATATATAAATGTTTATATTATTAAATTGGATATAAAATGTTTATCAAAGTATAAAATATTTTAAAGAGCAAGCTTTGGCTTGGACATGTTATGAGACGTGAAACATTTTTTAGGGTCAGTTCAGAGTCATTGGTCTTTTTCTTGATACGATTAGAAAATTTTTCTAGTTCGTTAGTCATAATCGCTCTCGTCCTCTAATTTGAATGAGTATTTTTTTTCCCCTTCTTTTTTCTATTCATCTTTTCTTCTTTCCATAAGATTTGTGGAAAACAGAAAACTTTCCCTTAACTATTAATATTGGTTAGCATTAAAGTAAAGCATACATTTGCTTCCGACTGGTTTGAGGGTCAGTATTTTTCAGTTTCAGATTTTATAGTATATCAGATGTTATTTCTTCTTACGTTTTTCTTCTTTAAGGGAAAAATTTGAAATAGTACAAAAGAATTTTAAAATCAAGAAATAATATAATTTAGTATTAACAGTAAGAAAAATCTCGTTAGAGAAAAACTATTTTATTTATTAAATTAAAATGATTGATTAGTTCAATCCAAAAAACTTCATTAATTATTCCATGAACAAAGATTTTATAAACAAACAGAGTCATAAAAACTATAGGAAGACGTTTTTTTTTTCAATCGAGTATATTACACATATTACTATAATTTTGATTTTTATTTAACATGTTTCTTACATAGCTAAAAAAAATCCGTCATAAGGTTTGTCCTAGTGCGTGCTAGTGCATGGATTAAATCCACATCGTTTAATGCGTTTTCGGTCGGTCCCTTCGGTATAATAAAAAACACTTGTAAAAATACTTGTAACAAGTGCGGAATTATCAGGATAATTGTTAATTGAAAATAAAAGATGACGAATAATAAAGTTTTTCGTATGTAAGAAACACAGATTTCATTTAAAAAATTCATCGATGATTGTGGAAATCAGAAAGTACATCAAAGTAGGATTTATTTAGTAATAAATCTATAGCATTATTCGAACAAAATTTTATTCGAATAAGATTTTAATCATAATTTAAAAAAATCAAACGATGAATGGTATGCGATATCACGCAACATTAATCTTATAATTGAGTGTGTAATTAGGAATTTGATCAAAAAGGAAAGAAAAATAAAAGAAAAATTAGTACAATTTAGTATAATTGTAATAATTGTTTAAATCATGTGATGCTTAATTTCACTTTCATCAGGAAAATCTTACGAATATATTGATATGATATTTAAAGTGATAGTACAAAACTAGATTAGAAATTGGAAAAATTTCTCCATTAAATCCAATAATTTAACATTAATCATTTAATGTTAACATTATATCAATTTTAATCTTCGAAATTAAAAGCGATCACTGTTAATTTTGATTTTAATTTCAGTCTCGTACCTCCCGGTTATTGGCCCACATTAATTTCAATAAATTTATTCGAAATCATTTAAAAATTATTCGTTATTTCTAATTTACGAATAATTTCATTTATTTGAAGATTATTTAAATAAAATTTTTATTCGAATAAAAACTTAATCGAATAACGCTCATCTTTAATTTATATATTAGAAAAATAGGAATTATTAGGAATAGAAATTTCATATAGAATATTTAACATATTTCATCATAGGAAAATATATATTCAAATTGAAAAAATGAAAATGAACGAAAGATTAGAAACAAAAAACTTTTCTTCCTTTTTTGGTAATTAAACAATATACTTATAATTTTCAACATCAACAACATTTGTTGTTCACAGGAAAAATGATCGCACAGTCATGAGGAGGAGCCACATGAGGCCTTTAAAATTCATTCAGTCGACCCGCTTTTACAGGACCATCTGGAATGTTTTTTTAGTGGACCGATAGTTTTATCTTTTTCAATGATTCACAATTGAATCATAATGGATGTAAAAAAACTGCAGCCTGATCGAATCAGAGGAATTAAGAGGAATGTAAAAAAAATTTGTCATCATCATTTAAACATCATAACTCGGATTAACACATTATCAAATTTTTATTGTATAAGTTGAACGTTTTTTATTGCATAAAACAACTTTTACTAAAATAGAAACATGATTATGTATGTATATTTATTTATTTTCATTCATATGTAGCATTCATATTAGTAATTAAAAAAAATTATTCAATGAAAAATTTGCAGTTCTGAGAAAGAGAAATTAAACCCTGGCACCCAATATGTTAATTTCTAGTCAGAAATGCTTTGAAAATTTCTTGCCGGAGAAGGATGAGAATCTCCGAGTTAGTAGGTAGATATTACTGTGATGGAACATGACTCACACATTACGCTGTAGTTGATTTTTCTCGAGCGAATCAACAAGCTAGAGTCGATGCACCTCGCTATATGCTTATGCTTATTTTTCAATTAATTTTTCAAATATACATTCGAATTTATGAAACATTCTATTGAAACATCCAATTTTTATTTCAGAAGATCGTTTATAAGTTCGACAGAAACTTTGTTAGCTTATTCGTTAATTGATTTTAAATCAAAGACAGTTAAGAAGAATATATTAAGAATAATGTAGCCAATGTAGTCAATTCTTGACCTAGAAATATTATTTGCATTCACGTTATAATTACAATATGCAACATGTGATATCCGGAATTATTTAGTATAATAGTGATATTCAATTTCTTATTTTAATCACTCGACATACAATTTAATTTTATTGTAAAATCGAGAAAAATTTTATTCACTTCTCAAACTCTTAAAATAATTATTATGACAAATTATACATCTTTACAAAATTAACAATAATCGCAATTTATTGAAATTAACATTTATTGAAAATTTTACAATTTAAAAATCAAATATAGTAATAAGCAAGTTGCATCATTTATTATACATATATGGAGATATAAGTGAATGTAGGTGAATAACAATTGGTCCAGGATATGTCGCAGCACGATATAATATCTGTGCTTTATGGAATACCCTACGAATCAGCTTACCAAACATGCATAGCCCACAAAAAGATATTCGTTTCCGCCCAGCGTGATATCCATGGTATCACAGGAAGGTTAGAATCAGCCTCTGTACACTACCATATCAAGCGATGTATATATACATCTTTTTCAATGAATTCATTTGATTAAAAATACCGAATCATTTCTTTTTCTTTTTTGAAAAAAGATAAATAAACAAAATAAAAGAATGTAAATAAAATTAAACAGAAGATCAAGATTATTATAACACTGCACTTTTTGATTTAAAATGATTTAAAACGGTTTTGAATCAATTCTGTTAAATTAGAAATATGCAAAATTAATGAAGACATAACATACAACCACCAACTGGTATGATATCCCGAGGGCGACTGAACCGAACACTACTGAACAGTGAACTTGATTTACAGCTGCGGAGAAGGGAGGATTCCGAGAGAAAGAAACACGTGGTGCGATCCTCCGAATGAAGAGGGGATCTGCGACACTTGGACACAGAATGCGTAGTTTTTCCTCTGTTGGCCAACCAATGAAATTGTTAAGTGAATCGCAAATTAAATTTTGACGGTATTAATTTAAAAGTGTAAACACGATTTGTCAAATCTGCAATTTCATTTATCGGTTCATCAAGTCTTCAGGCTTTGTATAAGTGAAGTTGTTATTTAAAAATTTTGTACTCTTATTACTTTATTTATAGATGTATTAGATATTTTACTCAAGATAATTATACAAACTTTTGAATCAGTTAAAAATGATTATATCAATTTTGATAATTGAGAATTCATTATATGTCATTTCTGATCTATCTATGCAATATGAATATATAATGAACATAATGAAAATAAGTAAAAAAATATAATTTTTTTAAAATATCCTTCATTATCATATCATTCCATAATTAAAGTTTTTATTTTTAATAATTGTACAATGAAAATAAAAATAATTTAGAAAAAATTATTTTTAGAGAAAATAAAATATAAGAAACATTTAGAGTTGCAAGTTTAACTCAGATCAGAAAGGCACCATCGAAAGTTTATCAATTATTTGAAAGACCTATCTAAAAGAGAAGAAGAAAAAAAAGTCAATGCATATTGGAAAAATAAGATAAACAGAAACATATGGAAGCAAAGGGGACTTGGAAAGAGTCAGAGGGCAGTGTCCTGAGGCAAGAGGGCAGAACCGGGCCAGAGAAAAATTTGCATTTCCTGTTCACAATGAATAACGCTGTATGGAGAAACCATATTGATCATCGAATTAATTCAATAATCTTCGAAATTTCAACTGAGAAAACCATATTTCAAAATCTTTATAGAAGAAATCTATTTGTGACCATCAAAAAAAATTCGAGTAACCATTCATTGACATAACATCTTTATCACAAAGAATATCACGATACTTATTCTTTTATATTTTTGTTATTCATTATATTTTTTATATTCTTATTTCTCTTCTTCTAGAGATTTATTAATAATCAAATATTAATAATCACAATTATTATCACATTATTATTATTATTATTATATCTAGAGTATAGATTTATTTTTTCATTAGAATTATATCGAATAAAAAAGAAAAAGAGAAATGGAATGTTTATAAGAACAGCTGTTTTTGCCCTTGAGGTTGTTGACCATACATGCATCTATTTATGTAGAGGTCTTTATGTTAACTTTGGATTCCCAGGTATTCATAGAAGCAACACGTGTCTATTAACTTCGGCCAAGCTCCTCTTTGTCTTTTAGTTAGCGTTTTTTGCGCTCCATTTATTCTTTGATTTGCATGCTCGAAGTAATTATAGAATACTCAATTGGAATGAATTTGTTTGTTAATTAAAAAAGAGTTAATGTTTGAAGAAATTTCCAAGATATATAGCATAGTTGATAATATTATGAAATTACAAATATACATGATATAGATATATAAAAATATTATATATTATTATATAAATTCTAGATATGTTAACATTATCAAATAAATTTAAGAGAAATTAAGAATTTAAATAAAATTAAGAAAGTAATTAAAAAAAAAATGTATAAAATAAAATAAAATTATATTAAATTAAACTATCGATGTTCTTATCGATAATTTTTATAATTTTTAAATATGTTATAAAGAACAAAATTAAACTATTTTTTTCTATATATATAACCGTCAAGTGATTGATCTTAATAAATAAGAATATAGCAAAGTTCATAAAAGAACTATTAATATATATTCAATATATATTCTTACTGCCGTGAATCAGATTTGTTGAATATTTTCTTGTTTATAATAAATAAATCAATCTTATAATGTATTTTATAATGCATTCCATCTATAATCATTGAATGAAGTAGTTACATTTAAAAAGAAGAAAGAAGAAAAAATAGATCTTGGAAAGGAATAATGATGTAACGGCTAACTATTCAAAAAAATGGAGTCGTCTCTGAATAAAAACGCACGTTGAAACATCTGGAATTTTAAAAGAGAAACTAGAAAGAGCTTGTACAAAAACTTTTTATATAGCTCGCATACGTGGGAGCAAGATTTTACTGTCTCCTAAGTGATAACGATTATCTTTTAGATATTATTTTAGATTTTTGAAATTAAAAACGAAATACAAGTATAAAATAATCAAAAAATTTAATATAAATAAAAAAATTATAGATATGAAAAATGTAAAAATTTACAAACACATGTTTAATACATGAAATATGAAAGACAAGATTGTGATGAAGAATAATGAAATTGAAATGAAATAATTTCTAATATTCTACAGTGATAGTTTTTGTTTTTAGATATTCGTTTAAAGCTTCTTGACCCAGATCTTTACCAAAACCAGACATTTTGAAACCACCAAAAGGTGCAGCCACATCTGTTTTATTATACGTATTAATGAATACTGTTCCAGCTTCTATTTTCTCGGCAAATCTAAGAGCTCTACTGATATCTCTTGTCAAGATACCAGAAGCCAATCCATACTCTGTATCATTCGCCCTCGCAATCATATCATCTACATTCTTTGAGCTGAATTTAGAAATAATCATGATAGGACCAAAAGATTCCTCTTTAGCTATATACATGTCATCTTTCACGTTTGTGAATATTGTTGGCTCAAAATACCATCCTGGTCGGTCTAATCTTTTCCCACCATAAATTAATTTAGCTCCTTCCTTAACTCCACATTCCACAAATTTCAAAAGTTTATTTAAATGAGCTTCATGGTTTTGTGGTCCATGGGCTGTGCTTCTATCTAGGGGATTTCCTATGGAAATTTTCTTAGTCTCTTCCACTATCCTTCTCAAGAATTCGTCATGAATTGTCTCTTCCACAAATAGCCGACCTATTATAAATAGAATAAATGTTTTAATTTTCTTTTATAATAATAGGTTAATCATTTTTTAAAGATTTTTATTTAATATTCTGAATATTATACCAGCAGCTATGCAATTTTCTCCTTTGTTGAAAAACACGCTGCTTATTGCAATCTTAATTGCTTGCTGTAAATCAGCATCTTCGAAAATGACTAAGGGACTTTTTCCACCCAGTTCTAGGGATACTTTCTTCAAGTTACTATTTGCACAAGATCTCATTATAGACTGTCCAATTTGCGTAGACCCAGTGAAGCCCAGTTTTCTAATTAGAAGATGTTCACAAATTGCATTTCCAGTCTCAGTTCCGTTTCCTGGTACGATATTCACCACTCCAGGTGGGAAACCAGCTCTTGCAATTAATTCTGCGAATTTCAAAGCTGTTAAAGGTGAAGCTTGTGCTGGTTTCATTACCACAGTATTGCCTGCTGCCAGGCAAGCTGCCATCTTCCAGGAGAGCATCATCAAAGGATAATTCCAAGGAGTAACCAGGCCACAAACACCAATAGGTTCTTTTCGGGTAAGGTTAAATTACGATTTGGTCTGGCATGAGCTATTGGTATGGTAGAACCTTGAATCTTATCACACCAGCCAGCGAAGTATCTCCAAGTTTCGATCGACATTCCTATATGGGTCTTCAAGGCTAATGTATATACTGCACCGGAATCTATGCTCTCAATGGTTGCTAATTCTTCCTTATGTTGCTCCATTAGATCTGCTAATCTGAAAAAAGATTATTGAGAATTAATTAAAATAAATAAAAATTTATAATCGAAAATATTTACTTGAAAAGAAGAGCTCCACGCTCTCTAGCGCTGATTTTGCTCCATTCTCCTTCTTCGAAAGCTTTCTTAGCTGCTTTAACTGCCTTATCCACATCGTCCACAGTGCCGGTTTCAACAGAACAGATTATTGTTTCGTCATGAGGATTAATTGTGTCTATAGGATTTCCGTGGCCATTTACAAATTCTCCATTAATAAATAATTGTCTAGGGAATTTCAGAGTCATATTGTTCGTTTCGACTTTCACAGCGTCGTATTTGATTTCTTTAGAGGCAGAGATACCTCGTGCTGTTAAAACTACTTTATTTACAAACTGGATAAACACCGGAGCCATGAAGACGTCAATATTTTGTAAAGTCACTTCCAAATTATCCTTTACCTCTTCTACTAATCTTACAACATCCATACTTCCTGCACCTGTAGAAGAAATGATATTTTAAATTTTTTATCTTTCTTGATCTTTCTTTTATCAAATATGTTTTTTGATATATCTTCCACATACCGCAAGCAAAGAAATCTGTATCCTCGTTAACATCCATGTTTAGAATACCTTCCCAAATTCGTTTCAAGGATTCTATGATCTTTTGTTCTTCTTCAGTGAATTCAATCGTGGTATCTTCACTTTTCTGACCAAATTTGCTCGCAAGAATAGTTCTAGTTCCAACTTTCATTCTTTCCACATTGACAAAGTGATTATCAACAGCTTTAATTAACAGTCCATCCTTATGAATGATGCCCAATCTATCCTCTACATTCACTTCAATCTCGTGTTCGGGTATCTGATCACCACTCCATAAGGTAGAACCAAATAGACGAACTTCTTCACCATCGATAATAGTCCAAGCACCTGGAGTGCTATCAAGACTACGTATGAAATCATGAACTTGTTTTGCAGATTTGGTCCAGTTTATTTTTTGAAGTTCTTTTTTATTCATCATAGGATCATAAGTGGCTCCCTCTTCCATTTGAGGAATCATAGGAGCGGTTCCTTTGGCCACAAGATCTACAGCCTCCGCCATGGCCTTGATCCCTTCGGGATACAGGAACTTATTATACAAAGAATCCAACGTATCATTGGAATTTACTTTGCACGATCTTTGGAGCAAAATTGGTCCTGTATCGAGACCATCATCGGCCCAGAAAATGGAAAAACCTGCAGTATCATCTCCTTCTATCAGAGTCCTAAGAAAAGTAAAAAAAAAAAAAAAAAATAAAAATAAAAAGATTATTATTTTTGCATGATAAATTTGAATTATAGGAAAGAATGATTGCACAATGATTCTTAAAAATTTATCAATTTTCTTATCATCGTATTCATTAAACGAGAAAGCTAAGAATAAATATGTATTGTACATTTCGATTGTATTGCACACGAAAACGGAGTCGAACCAGTTTCAAGATAAGCTTGCGTTTCGATTTACAGTGTCTTATTACTCCTCCTTCCCTTCCTTGCCGCCAGTGGTACTCTTTTGCTAAGATAAGCGATTAAGAATTCATATAATAGTTTATAAATATTCTTCTATATTATATTAGGCAATTCCAATCGTGTAATATATTAGGTATTATGATTACTTAAAAAAAACTAACCAGGTAATAGCACTAGCTCCTCTATGTCTTGGTAGCAAGGATGGATGGTAACATATACTACGATGACGAGGATGATTGATGACCTCCATGGGAATGAATTGACTGCAGAATGGAAGAACATTTAAATCAACTTCGATTCCTTTATATAACTGGAGCACTTCCGGCAAGGTCGTTCCTTTGCTTCTCCAAGACTTGATTTTAAAAACTGGAGTATTATCGATTTTTGCTGTTATGGCTATAAAAGACAAAATTGTCGAAATGCTAATATCTGTTGATCAATATTTTTCGTGGAATTTTTATAATTTTTGTATAATTACCCAGAGGATCTTCTCGGTTTCCTTTGTCAGGAATGGTAAAGACCCCTGTGATCTGGTGACCGTTTAGTTTCAGAAGCTTGTAAACCTCGGCTGCGAAGTTGCTTTGACCGATTATTGCCAGTTTGAGTTGCGCCATTGCCGTCTAAATACTCAAAATATTTTAATTTTTATCCTGTTAATATTTAACAATGTTTTTTATTATGAAAGAGTATAATGAAATATAGTGAAATATTAAAATAAAAGAATTAAATTAAAAAAATAAAAAATAAGCGTAATAAGGAGCATAAGATAAAATGTAATTATAAAATGTAAAGATACAAACTTTTAAAAATTAAAATGGTTATAGTTAATTATATAATTAAATATTATAGTTAAATTATTATTAAATATAAAAATATATTATTATAAACAGAAATAAATATGATAGTAAATAAAAAAATAAATATTTTAAATAAATATATGGATTCATGACAATTCTTTATGACCTCATTATACTCATTTTACTAAATCTATATATATGTATATATAAATTTAGTATATTATTATTATTCTTCAATTGACCCAATACCAAATATTAATCATGCCGTTATAGCAAACATTATGCAGCATATAATATACATACCTATTTGCTCCGCGATCTCTTCTAACTTTCACTGTACTTTCAAGTGAACTGCAAAGAGAAGACATAGTAAAGAAGCTGTGCAAAGGAAAAGTTGCTACAAGATAGGGAGAAGAATAAATGGAATTACTTTTCTATTTCTATCTACAATGACCATGTTATTAGCATTAAATGTATTATTATCTACTATCACCAAATGTATCCAATATGCTATCACCCAATCGTTATTCTAATTTCTACTATTTATGTTTAAATTATTCGAATAACAAAGCAATATTTTGTACAATATGTGTTTACAAATTTCAGCAGTTTGTCTTACGGTATTCACGACGTAGGAGCGTATTAAAAGGAAATTCTTCAAGAACAGCATTAGAAAATTAATATCTTCGATTTTTCGATTGTATAGAAATACATTCACTTCGCTGAATGTTATTCGACGATTAAGCAACACTTGTGACTATCGAACTGAAGCGCGCTAAAACGTGCAACGTTTATATAAGCTGTCTGTATCAGTAACCAGGGTCAAGAAATTTTTTTTTTTAACTCTTTCGTAGTTTATCTGTATATTACAATTGTTACTCTGATTTTTATCAGCCACGTGAGTCTCCCGGTACATCCCCTTAAAAATATAATGCGTTAATGAATTGCTGATATATGAAAGTATAAACAAAATAATGGAATAGTATAGCAATAATTACAATATATTAAGAATGTTGTACGTTATCAACCAACGAAAATGTCAAATATGAATATATCATAAATTAATTGGGAATTATTAGGATTATGTAGCATATTGATAATGAACTTATATTTTATACATCATATAATAGTCTAGAATAAAAAGTATTCATCTTGGGTATATATATATGTATAGAATTAATAATAAATATTTAAAAATTCAAATTATTTATTACATGCAATGCATAATTAGCATCGAATATAATTAATTAGAAATAAATTAATTTTCAAAGAAGATTTTTGATTGAAAATAGAGAAAATTATTTAAAATGTAAATTAATTTATTAAATACTTAAATATATTAGGAATTAATAATTTTTATTAAATCTATTATAGTAAATTACAAGTTTTAACTGGTTTGAACGAGTCTGAATGAAAGATTCCCCCCTATCAATTAGTCATAGGTTATCAATATGATGTTTACATGACCAGTTTTGTACTGGTTTTAGTCGGTTTAGGTCACGAGCATCAAAAGCTTGGGTCAAGATAAATAAAAAAATGTAAGTTTTCGATTATGATATTAGCAACGTAATTTCAGAAAAGAAAATCAGAACAGATTTAAAAATATTATACAGTCTTTTATTATATCCTTGATCTTGTACATGTTTTAATTACGAACAGATCGATTATATTATATACTATACATACATATAATATTATTATTTTAACGAAATAAAATTAATTGGAAAAACAAATTTATACAGATCGAATATTTAATATCTTGGAACTTTAAATTCTGATGCACCATCCAATACTGTCGTGGGTTTTCTTTTATTCATAATATTCTGAATTTTCTGCCATTCTCTATCTAATTCAGCTTTTTCATTTTTTTCTTTATTATATTTTCTTGTTCTTCTTCCATCAGCCATTTTTACACCATACTGAAATGCTGCTTTTGGTAAGGCTTCTTTATTATTCATATATTCACTATATTCTTCAGGTGTATCAAAATCCCATCTGCCAATAGGACCCTTTTTGTTACCAAGATCCATTTTGGTGTAATCTACTTCATCATCCGAATCATCTATAGCATCTTGCATCTCATCCAAGCCTGGATAACATTCTGCATACCCTTCTGGTTCAGCAGCTAATTTATTAAGGAGTGCGCCTTTTTTTGGAACGTTATTATCTGAATTGGAAGATGCAACATTTGGCAATTGGGGAGTATTTGCTTTATCATCCGTATCCAAACCATTCTCTGGTTTATCAAAATAAGAACCTTTTTTCTTTTCTCGCGGCTGATTTGGATCTTTTTTACTAATTGTTGGAACATAATCACCAATATCTCCATAGATGCTTTCGTCCTGCGGTCTTGGAGCAATATCCATGTCGTTCATATCGTCAGGTCTTGATCTACCATCTTTATACTTCTTTCCTTTTTTACCATGACGATTACCTTGACGGAGATAAGATAAAATTTGTGCCAATTTGTTTATTACGATATCATTTGTTGTTAAAGTAGGAGTATTGTCTATAGTGGGTACATCTGCTTTGCTTCTAATGAGGGTAGTCGGTATATCTACATCTGTATTTTCGTCATCTAATTCAATTACATAGGCCATGCGACCAGGAGTAAATAATTCATTTCTTTCAATCTGTTTAGATTTCATGGTTATAATTGTTCTATAAATATTGCGTCCTATCTTAGTTTTAAACTGCATCTCATCATCTTTCTTTTCTCCCTCTTTTTTATCCTTTTTATCCTTTGGCTTAACTAATTTTTCCATTTCCTGTTCCTGTTCATGTTCTTTTGCTTCTATTTCACTACGTACCTATAAAATAAAATATTATTTTATAAATTTATTTCTATTTCTATATTACAAATTAAATCATTCTTTTGCAGATTCTTACTTTTTGAAGAAGAGCATAATCCAACCCTTTTACTAAATGAGTGTGCTCCATATCACCACCTAAGAATTTTGATTGTTGAATCATTTGTCTTCTACGTTCAGCTGCATCCATTCCTGATTTCAAATCTGGAGCAACGGCACGATATGCACTGGCACTATTCATTGGATCTTCTGCCTGATAATCTTGATTTGTGCCATCCCTACGTTCTCTAGCTCTATCTCTATATTTTTCTGCTAATTCTGCCATTTTATCTTCTTCCTGTTTTTTTAATTTAGCATAAAAACTTTTTTTTTCCTTCGTAATTCTGCACGACTGCCACCACTAACATTTGGTGTTTGTGCAGTTTTTGCATTAGCATCTCGAGCAGTTCCAGGTACAGAAGCTGGAGTGGCAGATGGAACAGATGCTCTTGGTGTCATCAATAGTTTTCGGAAATCATCGTTCGTTAAACGAACAGACATTCCCATATCTTCCTCCGTTGTTTCTGGCATTTTGGTTATTATATATAAATGTTCTAAAATATCGAGGTTAATTTGTTAAATACTGAAATCATCATAAGAAATCAAAAACTAGATGAAATGTTATAAATTGTAAGTATATACCTTACATATACTTGATATTTTAAAATTTATAATATTGACTTAAAAAAAAATTTATCATTGAATTATTCTGACAGATTACTATTATCACAATATAATATCTTTATTAACAAATATCATAAAGTTAAAAAGTAATAGAGTAGAGAAAGAAAACAATAATCTATTAGAGAAATGACATAATGTGATGCCATCTACTGTTATTTCGTAGTACTATATAATATATCATATCATTGGATAGATGGCGTCATTAAATTTTGTTATTTTATTCCCTCTATTAGTTTCTAGAGTATAACAGATTTTATAATCTTCGTGAATCTTCTACAGAAATTTTGAGTGTTATTGACATCTAACGGAAAAAGATTATTATTTTTAAATTTAAATTTTGTTGAGCAAATTAAATATAAAAAAATTAAAATTTCATTTAAAAAATAATATCTTCAAAATAATATCATTTTTGCATATCTTCAACTTTTATTATAATTAAAAATAATTTATACCAAAAAAATATTATCAATTTCTCTTAATAAACATCAGAAATCGGAGAAATTACAAAAAAATCATTAAATGTTTTTAACATTAAGAACTTGATATTTAGCATCTATACAAGTAGCATAATGTATCGTTGGCTTTCCTAATTCAGGATTAGCCACATAATATGCGAAACGGGTAATTCCATTGCATGCAGCTCCATATTCTCCATGTTTATTTAATGCAATCACTGCACCAGTGAATGTAGGATAATGTTTAGCGATTCTTTTAATTGCTGTGGTTGCAGCTGCAGTAGGAGTGGCATCACGGCGCATTTCTTCTACAGCTAAAAAACTAAAAAAATCCCTAGATACAAAACTGCAAAATAAAAAAATTATACCATTCATTGAACTTTTACCTTGGTAAAAATCGCATCATGATATCTCCTTCGCCGGTTCCAGCTGCCGCACCAACATCTTGATCAGCATATGCACCTGCACCTGCTATTGGGGAATCCCCAATGCGACCAGGGATTTTATTTCTGGCACCATTTGTTGATGTACCAGCTGCTATATGCCCATTTGAATCTATAGCTATAACCCCGATCGTATCGTGATTTTCTTCAGTCATATATGATAAATGTTCCTCCAAATTGTTGTCCATAAAGTCTTTTGAACGATATGGCCCACAAGTTTTTGTTGGATCCGGATTTACATTCTAAGAAGATATATGCATAGTTATATATATAGAATTTCTGTAATAAAAATAATTTACCTTCCAAAAGTTAGGCTGACATTTATTTGCTTTCCAATCTAACCACATTTTCTTTGATTCTTCTGTTTGTAAAGATTCTTTTTTAAATCCCATTTCTACAGCAAATTTTGTGGCTAGTTCTCCACCAATTAAAGAATGTTTAGTATTATGTAAAACCTTACGGGCAACTGAAATCGCATTCTTAATATTTCTTAACAAACCTACACCACCTACATCCATTGTTACTCTATTTTTAATCAAATAATAAAATCAGAAGCAATATTTTTCATATAAGTATATTTTATATATATATATATATACCATCCATAATAAGAGCATCTAAAGTTGTTTCTCCAGATTCATCTGGACTACCCCCATATCCTACAGTTTTTCTGCATCTCTGATCTTCACAAAGACTGCAGCTTTCTTCTATAGCATCCAGAGCACTTCTTTCTTCATTATTCAAAACATTCCATGCTAAAACAAATTATAAATACATATCAATACAGTTGTTGTTATATTATTATCATTAGTCTTGTGAAATTATTTCTTTGAATATATAAACAATTACCTCTTTGTGTAGCATTTTCATAATCCCAAGTAATAACTACTAAAGGAATGCTCTTATTAAAAGCAGAAACTTCTTGATACTGTATTAAAGAAATATATATCAAGTAAATAATTAATAGAATCTTCATGTTTGGAGTTCAGTTAGCTATTGATTAATACTAAAACTTGATAATCTTTGTTCATAAAAAAAGAAGGGATATATCTCTCTGATGTTAGATTATACATATATAAACTTGTTTTGTCTTGATATAATATTTCTGGAATGATTTAATAATCTATAAAAATTAATAAACTTCACAAACAGATGAATATGATACGAATTATTTTCACTGTAAATTTATAATAATTGATTTATACGAAATATAAAAAGTAATATTTACAATAAATAATTAAATTTTCTTACAATATGAAATCTTATCGGTTTTGTGGAAAAATTTAACAAGATATCAAGTTCAATGAACGTATATATTATGATCAATTATAAACTCTATCTTATCAAATTAATCATAATTTTATTTGATTTATTTATCGAATATCGTTAATAATTACTAATTTATCCAAATCATCTTAGGTATTGATGTATCTGTAAAAAATATAATTTAATATATTAATTAAATAAATATTAGAAAAATTCTTTCTCTCTATCTGTCTGTCTGTCTCTGTCTCTCTCTCTCTCTCTCTCCTCTTTACATTTTCTTGAATTATATTAATTTACTATTTACTTTTTAAAATGAAATCATGGTCCACTTGTATTTTTTTTATTATAATTTTGTATTATAATAAGTAAATAAAATTCATGGAATAATTCAGATTATAATTTGAAGTTTGACTAAACATGAAAAAATTCGTGACATAAGCAATTTATAATCGATGTTTAAGATTGTTTCACACATTTTTGCTAAAAAAGAAATTAAATTATAACAAATTATTTAGAATATTTTTTACATCAATTAAAAAACTTTTTGTTTAAAGCTAAAATAGAATAAAAATATTCTCCACAATTTGGGAGTTGCTGTTATCCTAATCAATATACATAACCCTTTTCATATATAAAAAAAATGCCTTTTAAAAAAGATTTGCGACTTTTATTGAAGCCTTATTATTTTATAAATATTTTACTTAGTCTTTCATATATCATTTCCAAACGTATACCAATTGTTTGTAATTATGTATTCGCACAAGCTGAGTGTGAACTTGATGGGGTAAGTCATTTAAACATAAAAATAGAGATATTAAATTATTTGAGTAGAGTATATTTTATAGTAAATATATTTTTATTTTAGAGAGAAACAGAGATATTATTTTTTCTCATGATAGTCATAATGATAAGGACACGAAAAACTGGAAGTGTAACTATGATAAGCTATTTATCATCCAGCTTTGTATATACTAAAGTTGCAAATCTGATTCTTTGGTTTTATGCAGATATTCGTATGGGAATAATATTTGCTATTATATTCATTTGTAAGTATTTGATATAACAATTTTCAAATGAACATTATTATATAATTCAATAATTATAGTATGCGGTTTAATGTTTCCTGAACCAACATATCAAGGTCCAGAAAAGATAACATATTTACGTGGTGCAAATGGATTACAAGATGAATTTTACCGTGATACAAAAATCATTTGGTTAGTTGCATTCTACACAGCTTGGAATCCAGCTTGTGTCAACTTTGCACCAATATTCTCCGAACTTTCAGCAGAGTTCGTAATGATTAATCATTTATGATAATAATTATATAATCGTGCATAATCATATATATTATCAATGATTATAATATTATATTAAAAATAATATTTTAAATTTATAGATATGCCTTAGAAAATTTGAAATTCGGAAAAGTAGATATAGGTAGATATCCGGATGCTGCGTTGAAATATCATATTAGTGATGCTAGTACCAGCAAACAGCTTCCTACCTTAATTTTATTTAAAGAAGGTAAAGAAGTAGAAAGACGTCCACATGCAGATCATAAAGGAAAACTGATTAAATTTCTCTTTTCATTGGTATGTAACATGGTAGATTTTTAAATTTTTGAATGTATATATGTATATATAAAAAAATTATTTTTTAGGATAATATAAAGGCAGCTTTTGATCTAAATAATATTTATAGAGATTGTAAAAAAAATCCGATCAAGAAGAAGGAAAAAAAAATAGTAAAAGCAGAGTGATCTAATCAGCATTTCCAAATGTTGAAATATTTACTATCATAGCACTGCCAATGCGATTTTAAATGAAGATTACTTCATATAGAATAATGAAGTTTAGAGTAATCAATGTCTTGCGCAAATTTCCGAAACTGCAAATAATTTGTAAATATTCATTATATTTTCTATTATTATGTATATTTTTAACTTCACTATAGATAGATATTTCTTTATATATTCTAGCTTACTGTATATAAGTACTAATATATTGTAATATAAGATATTAGGTTAAGATACTAATTTATTAAATATTATATTAATTGAAATTAAATAAAATGTAGAGCACTACGTGTATAAATTATAATTCGTCGAAACCAAAGCAAATTTAGAATTAAGTTAAACATAAATTATATGCAATATTGCAGTTTTGTTGAATAAATTGAGTAAAATTTTGTTGAAATAGATAATTGTATTAAATATTTATATATTATAAAATTCAAGTATTTATACAATTGTGGATATATAATTTAGCATAAAATTTATCATACAGGTGGCCAAATGATCATGATATGTCCGTGTATTGATTCTGGTAACCATTTTTGATAAGCTGATAAAAGAACTGAAATTTATAATGATAATTTCTTAATATCATATTATGACCATATATTTATGTATAAAAAACATATACTTACAATTTATATCTGTCTTCCAAGTTTCTAATAATTGTACTTTTGACATAATTCCATGAGATAATAATAGTTGAGTCATTTCTTGCGTTCGCGGAATTAATCTAAAATTCCATGTCAAATTATTAATTTAGAATTGTTTTATTTATTTTAACTCTATTTAAAATCTTACTTAGCCCATGTTTTGGTAACACTTTGAGGAGTTGATAATAATGAAGGAACGAATTGTTTTAATTTTGGAAATATTTTTCCTTCTAAAAAAAAGCACGCAAACCATTTAACCCCATCTATGGATAATGGATATTCCATATCCATTATTGGTAATTTCCAACCTGCTCTTCCGAATGTTCCCGTTATACTACACATTACTTTTCCAGTTTCTGGATCGTATCTTCATAAATTAAATGTTTTATTATATAAGATGTTTTATTATATATTTTATTATTATATTTAGTATAAAGAAATGTTTTATTATAAAAAAAAAAAAAAATAGATTTATGTACCTTGGTGGTGGATCAGTTAAAGGATCTCCAAGTTGGCATAGAGAAGGAGCAAATTTAGGCAGCCATTCCGATTCTATAGCTGTGACACCACGCATATATATTTTATTTGTTTCATATATTTCCTGATAAACTACCCATTCAGGACATGTTTTTCGGAGAATGGATGAAGAATGTAGAAATACTGGATCTTCCATATCTACAGTTCTATACAAAAAATTATTTAATTATATATTTAAAATGGTTAAGAAATATTTAATATCTTACTTATAGGCATATTTCCATTTAGCCTTATCTTGATCTTTATTAATCTCATCTGGCATCACTTTTCTTGCAACTTGATCAGCCATTCCTGCAAGAACTATTTGCCTGAGAAGTTTGGCTTCCATATCAACTGGAGGTTTCATCCTGAATTAAAATTAGAAATAAATTTTTTAATAATTAATAAAAATAATTAAGTATTAAAAAAAGTAATGAAAAGCAAAATATAGAATCCCGATTTTTTGTGAATTTCAATTCTCTGTAGATGTTTCCTCAGTTCTTATTATTTACTTGTACATACTGTGGATCAATGATGAGATTTAAATCTTGAATATTCAAATTAATTTCATTTGTTAATTGCTGTCGAAGTTTTCGAATTTCTACAATCGCCTTATGTCGTAAACCATGCTCTTCGCAAAAAGAAAATAGTTTTCCTTTAGTTCCCGCATATTCTGCACTTCCTACAGCTCTGATTAAAACCATTGGATCACCTTTTTCGTAGAATATATTATATTTAATTAATATATCTATATTTTATTATCATAATTTTTAAAAAATTAAATTATATACCAAGGAGTAAACTATTGCCAGTACCAGCCCAAAAACGTTTTATTTGTAACCACTTATTTCGAGAATCAATATCTACATCAAATGCTTCCATCAATACCTCTTGAACAGAAAGCGCAGCTACCATACATACTGTGTATTGAAGAAGATTATGTTGATGGGACAAAGCTAACATTTTTCCATAACGAGGAGCAACAGGAAATGCAGCTATACTGCGACCAAGTGATGTTACTTTAGCACTATATGAATCTAAATAAAGAATAATTACAATGGATAAATAATTGATTACATTTAAATAATAGAGAATTATATAAACTGTACCTTCTTTTTCAATAGCTGGCTGTTCTAAAACTCCAAGTATTATTAGTCTTTTTTCAGCCATTTTTAATTGTGTAGCATCTGGTGGCGATGGAAAAGGAAAATTCACAACTTTGTCAATATTCATGATTTTCATTTGTAAAATTAAATCATCTACAGGTTTTCTTTGAATCTCTGATTGATTAAACTGTTCAAAATGATCATTAAACACTGCTGAGGAATATAACCTGTAATTAATATTTAATAAGGAAATTATATTTTCTAATTATGAACTAATTTCAAAAAATACCTATAACAATGTCCAGGGCCAGTTCTACCAGCTCTTCCTGCCCGTTGATTAGCAGATGCCTTACTAATATAGCAGACTTTGTATGTACTAACTCCAGTTACTTTATCATACATCCTTGTTTTACAACGTCCACAATCTATTACGTATTTTATATTAGGTATAGTTAGGGAAGTTTCTGCTACATTTGTAGATACCACACATAAACGATGATCTTCTGGAGGTGGCTCAAACACCTAAAAATAAAAATTGTTTAATTATTTTCAATTGTTACTTTTATAAATTTTAATATTTTTGAATTTTTAAATTACTCTTGCTTGTTTATGACTAGGAAGCAGAGAGTATAATGGTAAAACCCATAATGGTTGTGCATTTATACAAGTCTTTGGATTAATCATATCTTCATCTTCACTTTTGTCATCATTTTCGTCTAATTGTTCTTCTTCATCATCTTCTGCAGTAATTAAATCTTCGTATGTATCATCAATTGGAATTACAGAATAACTAAAAATTAGTGTATTATGATTATAAGATAATTAGATAAAAAGTTATATAATATAACTTATAATATAAATAAAAGCATCTATAATAAAAGTTATAATATAATAGTTAGTCATATATAAAAAAATAATATATTTTATTACTCATCCAGATTAATGTTTGGTAATTGAATTTGTTTTTTTTGACGTAATTTATTATAACGAATAGTTTTTCTGTAACAAAAATCATTATCACTATCAATATTATCGCTTTCGTTATTATCATTTTTATCTTGAATATCTTCTTTCTCCTTTGGAAAATCTTTATTTTCTGATTTTTTTTCTCTTTTTGTAGTTTCTTTCTTATTTCTTCTTGTAGAAAAAGCTTGGCGCAATTTCCGTACTACGAAATTTACTTCTCGTTGTCCTAAATTAATGATATATATTTTTAAAAAGAACGTATTATAAAATTTATAAGTAAATTGAAATTTTAAAAAATATACCCGTCAAAAATATTAAAATTCCACCATCAGGAAGTCGAGTATGTATTTTTATAGCTTTCTTTAGAGCATCAGAAATATAATTAATGCTTGTTCTTTTATTAAAATGTATTGTAACAGGAAATTGTCTTGATTCCACTGTTAATATGGGTGGTTTCATTTTAAATAATTTGTTATTTTCTACAAATTCTTCTACACGTAATGTAGCTGACATAATTACAAGTTTCAAAGAATTTTTTCTTTTATTCCGTAGTGGTACAATTCGTGATAATAGTCCTATCAAAATATCGGTATATACACTACGTTCATGTGCTTCATCTAAAATAATTATGGAATATTTCGTCAGTAAAAAATCCTAAAATATTAAAAAATTAAAAATTAAAAAAAAATAAAATATTAAAAAATTCTGATTATAATAATTATTTCAAAAAATTATTTAATTATTTAATGATTATATTCAATTTATTTAAATAATTACATACACTTTGTATTTCCTTTAATAATACACCATCAGTCATAAACTTGATTTTTGTTTCAGGTGTAACATTTCCCTCAAAACGAATCAAGTAAGAAACTTCTTTTTCAGTAAGATTCATTTCTTCAGCAACACGTTTACTCATAGATATAGCTGCTACTCTTCTTGGTTCTGTAATTCCAATTAATTTTTCTTGAGCATAGCCAGCTTCATAAAGAAATTGTGGAACTTGCGTAGTTTTACCACTGCCTGTTTCACCAGTAATTATTACAACAGGATTTTCATTAATTGCTTCCATAATAACTTGTTCCTCTGCTACTACTGGTAATTTTAATCTAGCTGCTTGAATTTCTGGTTTCCTTTGCAGCATTACAAATAGAGCAGACTTTTTTTCTATCAAATGCTGTAGCTTTAAGGATTCTTTAGTTAAAGTGATTATTGATTTTTTTTCTTCTTCTATAGTATTTTTTATTACATTTCTATCTGTGAGATCATTTTTTTTATTTGAAATATGCTCATTTTTTCCTTTTATTTTATTTTTTTCTAAAGACACAATATTTGTTGCATCTTCTTCCTGCTCATCTTCATTATTCTTTGTATCTAATTCTAATTCGCTATTACTAGATTCCTATAACAAATTACATTAATTATTTTAATACACAATTATTTTAATATTTGATTTATTAAATAATTATTAACTTACATCAAATCCAATAACATTTGGATCTGAAATTGTTTTCTCAATTACTTCTTTTTCTAAAATAGCTAATCTTTTTTTCTTATTAGCTCTAATAGCATTTATAGGTATTTCTACTGTATCATTTTCATTTTTAATATTCGAATCAATTTTATATTCTTTAACAGATAATTCTGCTTCTCTAAAATGACGTTTTAATCCTTTAGTTTGTACACTTGTCAAAGATATATATTGTTTTAATTCTTCTGGTGATGCTTGTACTTTTGCTAATTCTTCTAGAAGTTCTGTTCTCTATTAAAATAAAAATAAAAAAATAATATGAAAAAAAATAATATGAAAATTTTATACTCAATAACTTACCTGTAATTTTTTTTCTTTTTTCTATAACTTTTTCTAATTGTTTTCTACGTTTTTTAGATAATAATCGAGTAGTAATAGTATTTTTGACTTTCTTTTTGGTTTTTCTTTTTTCATTTGGGAGAACTAATGCATTACAACTATCAAAATTATCTTCACGATGTATAATATCTATGGGAATCTAAAAAAGATTTTTTAAATATTTTTTCTTTTCGTTTTTTTATTATATATTATATTATTATATATATTTATATATTATATTACTGTATAAAAATACCTTTTTAGTTGCAGAGTTATCAATTATAATTTCGGCATTATTTCTCGCTTTCCAATTATATTTTTTTTCCCCATGTTTATTTATGTAAAAATTTTTCAACTAAAATAATATGTTCTTTTTTTAATATATTTTTACAATTATTTACATATTTTATTTAGTTTTTACTTATATATATATGTATATTATTTGGTTATGATTTTATCCACGTGTATGATTTGAGTCATCTAACATTCTTTATGAAAGAATACAGAAATAATTATCTATAACCGGCAATTAATATTTTAATATTTAATATTTTAATTTATTTTTTTGTTTCGTGCTGCAAGAACACTTTTCATTTCCTTACTACTCCACTTTCATTTTAGTGATTTTCAAAGCTAACATATTTGTAAATTAGATATATAGATATTGTAAATTAGATAGATAGATTACAAGTATATTACTACTGTATTATATTTCTAAAAATAAAATTATATTTAAGTTTTTGAATTTAATAAAGATATATTATACGAGATATATTTTGCAAAATCATCATCTTAAATACGAACGATTTAGAGATATATTATAAAATCGAGAATAATATTTATATATATTTTTTAATATTATTTAATATTTATTTTAATATTTTATTATTATTAGATTAAGATTTGATCTTCTACTTTAAAAGAGAAATAGTAAAAATGTAATATGATAAATAATTAATATCATATTAATATCACATATAATATCAATGTAATTATGATTTGTATTTCATTTATGATTATATCAAATGCAAGTATAAACAAAAAGAGTAACTGATAGAAAAAATAGAATTAGAGAATTAGAGAATTAATCAGCATTATCTCTTAAGTAATTATAAAAAAATATTTTTCAAGAGATGGCGCTAATCCATAATTCTTATTCTATTATATTTTTTCTTTGAAAAAATATCTTTAATGTTCAAAAGATGGTCTTGATAGTTAATTTTTATTTTATTTCTATTCTTCTTTTATTATTTACTCTTCTTATATATATATAATATATATATATATATATTAGTTTTATCTACAGACTTTTTAGAGATGGCGCTAATTCTCATACTTCCATCTTTATGTTTATCCTAAATTTCATCTGTGATAAATTAATGAATATCAACAATAGATAAAGAAAAAAATATTATTTTCTAATAATTTCGCAGGATGTCGCTGATATATACGCTGATACAAACATGTGACATTAAAAGACAATTTGTTTTAATAAGTCATTAATCTGTCGCGAAATAATTAATTAAAGAAAAATGCGATCAATTTTTTAATTATTTTGTGTAATTTTTTCTTTCTTTTCGAATATTAATATATATATTATTATGTGAATTTTAGATTTTTAAATTATAATAAGTATATAATAGAGGTTATGTTAATCAAAATTTATAATTTATAATTAAATAATTAAAACTTTATTTAAAAATTTAAAGATAAGATTTAATAAGATATGGATACAGAAAATTCGAGCGAGAATTCACATCCAATTTTAGAGACTCCTCCACGTGCTGAACGAGTAAGTTTTTGATATACCATGATAAATTTCAATTTTTCTAAATTCTTATATTATTTTCATCATATTTTATATCATAGAAAAGTACCCGAGGATCGCGACAAAAAGGAGTAGATAGTATAACAAAAAAATTTCTACGTAACTTTGATCCAGAACATAGTGAAAGAGAAAAACGAAAACTTCATCGACGGTTATATCAAGGCCACAAAAGACATGCTATGTATGACGAAAATGGAGTTTATACTCAAACAAGAGATGATCTTTGTGATTGTTTAAATTTAAATTGCGCTGGATGTCATTTTCCTTGTTCTAAATGCAATTCTCCTAAGTGTGGTCATGAATGCAGGTATGATATTAATTAAATTTTAAATTATTTCATTTTTTGAATATTAAAAATAAGTTTTTTATCAGGAATAATCGTAAGTGGACATATGAATCCATAGAAAATGAAGGAAGTGATGTCATCATAAAAAATCCATTATTGAAAGAAACTTGAAGTTCAAAAATCAAATCAGTTAAATAATTATATCATTATATATCAATATGATTATATTATTTTTATAAGAACTTTATGGCTGTGCTGTGCAAAAACTTTACTATCAATTTTTCACCAAGCTATATACTTATATTTATTTTCAATTTTATTAATATTATATAAGTTATATACATTATAATAATTAGAATATAAAAAAATGATATGTAAGAATATCTATATCTTATAACTTTTAAATTAATATTCCTTGTTAAAATCTCTTTTGAATCATGCATGTAAAATTTTAAGAATTTTTTTAATGCATCTAACATTAGGCTTACCATTTCTATGCAAAATGAATCCAGCGTATATTTTAGCAAAAAGTTAAGGAAAAATTATTTCAAAATGTTCTGTAAAAACAAGAAAGATTGAAAACGCTCAGTCAACGATGCACGTGCGTGTTCACAAACACACGAATATGCTATTGATTTTCCACGGTACTTTTAGCATAGTGCGCACGTACCTAACGCACATACACACATTCAACTGGCGAAGTAGGATGAGTCCCGGTGCGGAGGGCGTGCGCTTCGTTTTCTTTCGAGATCGTGAAAGTTTATAGCAGCGAGCAGCCGAAGATAAAGTGTTATGAATATGCTGATTCTGTGGCTATTGAAAATCGAACGCAATATTTGTCAATCGATTATTTGCTAATCAACAGTCGTGGTTAAGGTACTTGGATATTGGATAGCAATCCGAACATCGATACGAGACGAACATCCTCAAGCCAATTGTTATTATCTTGATTCTTAAAAGGATTCACGTTGCTTCTTCTTTCGAAGTAACAGAAGATTTCTTATATTTTAACAAGAATTACACTTGAACGCGGTTTTTATCATTATTTTTTAAATTAGAAAAGAAAAATTGAGAAGTGCATCGAGAAAATTAATATTTTTTTCAGGAATAATATAGTTTACCGGAGATCTAAGTGACTTACTTGAAGAAAAGAAAGTGCACGACAGTGTTGTTTGCTATACAAGGTTCACCAAACATTTTATTATCTGCAGACCCTCCGCATCATTGGGTCAATACAATTGAGATCTTATCATCTAATGCGTGACGCGTCGACATTTAACCGTGGTCGTGGTTCAGTAATTGGTTACATATATTTTCAGAATATACCTCTGTTATATGTTTATACTGATTATTTAATTTTTATTTAATTCTTTGTAAGCAATTTTGAAAATGACCGTGATAATAATTAATTAAAAATTGATATAGAAATTTCTTAAATTGGTTTTAATATCATTGATCTCTATGTGAATATTCTCTAGTGAAAATGTTTGATAATGATGACAAGAGTCTCGAGTCTCAAACATCACTTGTTGAATATATACACATGTAGAGGGATGATTACGGGTCATAAGAGGATTATGAAGTGGCATTTATATCAAGTTGTCGGTTTTTTCAGCGATTAAACATTGCAATATCATTAAGAAAATGATAATAATAGTTCATTATAGAAATTAAATATTATATTAACAAATTGTAAAGATAAAAAAAAAGTGTAAATCAATAATTTGATGTTAAATTTTTTGAATTTATTAAATTGACATCAATTAAAGATTTATTATAATGATAATTTTATTCGTTCAAAATATTATTAATTCAAAATAATTTATTAAATTTTATTAGTTTAAAATAATTTACTTTATACAATCAATTGGTAATCATCACATTCTCATGGAAATCGAATAAGAAAAATATATTAATCAGTGTAAATAATCAGCAGAGATGTAAAAAAAAAAAAATACGAGAATTATAGAATAGCGGAGGGTTATTCTTTATACAATCTTTATACAAAATCCATGGATTTTCAAGTCAACTTTTTATACGTTATGCACGACAGACAAATTTATACTGAAGGGACCCCGGTTAGCGGGGGTTAATATCATCGGGACGGCAGATGTCAGAATGCCAGAGCAGAGCAACGATTACCGCGTGGTGGTGTTTGGAGCGGGTGGTGTTGGCAAGAGTTCTCTCGTATTACGTTTCGTGAAAGGAACTTTTCGTGAATCTTATATACCCACTATCGAGGATACGTATAGACAGGTAAGTCTAAAAAAAAAAAGACATAAATCTATATAGTATTTTGTATAATAAACTCTTATATCTCTTGCATAGAGATTAATAAAAAAAATTTTCAAATTTATTTTGTTTTTATTAAATATTTACTAAATATTTTGCTAAATACTTTATTATTATTATGTATAAAAAATATATATGTTATTATATATAAAAAAAATTAAGATTATAAAAAAATTAAAATTTACCAATTTTTTTTATATAATTTTATAAATATAGAATGAATTTTTGTCATATATTTTCAAAAAAATTACGTTCTAATATTTATAGTATAAATACGAGGTCAATGTGACTAGACTTGCATGCGAATTTTATTTTTAATTAATTAATTATTTTCAGAATGCCATACTATATACAATAATACATATTATATACAAAGTTTATTATTTTTTTTAAAATAGGAAATTGCTTTGATTTCTAATTTCGATGCCTTTTATATGACAATTTTTGGATTTCTCATTTAAATTGATCATTTGTGATTCTATGTTTCAAAATAATTATATGTAGAATTATTAACCGAATTGGATTGGACAGGCAAGTAAAAAATATCGCATGAAAATCATATGAAAAAGATCGTATTGTATATGATAATAGATTTTCTAGATCAGATAAATAATACCGTAATTGCTTTCATGACGTAAATTGCTGACGCTGAATGATTCATATATGATGCAAGATTCCAATCTAATCATTCATCTTCAAATTATTATCTTGTTCCGTAATTGTAATAAAACTTTTTTCAGTTCTTCAATTTGTTCTTTTTATTCATATTTAAATATATATGTTTTTAATGTTTAAATATTTTTAATTGAATATTTTCAATTTGAATATCTTTTTATTGTTTAATAATTAACGATGTTTTCCTTCGTAAATATTTAAGAACATAAAAGATACATCTTTTAGCTTATATATTTTCATTTTATTCTATGCTGTATATCATAGATATTGATTAAAATTTATTTTTATCAACTTTAACAAAAATATTATAGATCGCAATAATTTGAATTGCATAATCGTTTGATTAGTCGATAATTCAATTTATCGACAATTTTCGTTCAATTGATTTTTCGCCGCTATCGATATCGATCGAAATTATAATAGATTTAAATTATTTTCTAATCGAATGCCAGTTTCAAGCACATTGGAATTTACTGAAGAAGTTTTGAAAACAGAAAAAAAGTATAAAAGCTTCGTTGGTGAAATTGTTGAGACCTGTGCTGTGTGTGCGACGAGAAGCGTGACAAAGAATAAATGAAATGGGACGATTATGGTACGATATTTCAGGTGATAAGCTGCAATAAAAATATATGCACGCTTCAAATTACCGACACAACGGGGTCTCATCAGTTTCCCGCGATGCAGCGGCTTTCCATAAGCAAAGGTCATGCCTTCATCCTCGTATATTCGGTGTGCTCACGGCAAAGCCTCGAGGAACTACGACCAATCTGGGCCATTATTAGAGAACTTAAAGGGCAGGATATATCACAGATACCTATAATGCTGGTAAGACCTATTTTTTAACGTGAATTTTCAATAACCATATAGAGATTTTTAAGTTTAAAAGATCTCTCATCGATATGTCGAAATATTATGAAGAAAATATAAAAATTTATTACAAAAAATATCGATGATCTTATCAATTAACTATTTTCTACCAATAATCTTAATGATTTTCAAATATATTGTAAAAGATTTCTTTTAGTAACTGTTTTCTTTGTTAACAATTAATTAACAATTTACTTTAGTTTTCGAATTATTCGCAAAAAACTTTCGATACTATTAAGATCGATGAAGAGAGTGATGATATATATATATATATGTATTATCAATATTATTAAATTTTTTAATAATATCAATAATGTAATAATAAAAACTATTCAAAAGAATTTTAATAATTTTTCATATAAATTTTATTTTTTAATTATAATTAAAAAAATAACAAATTTATGATTTGATTTTTCGATTCGATTCTTTTAATTATTTAACAGGTTGGAAACAAATGTGATGAGAGTCCATCAGTGCGTGAAGTATCGATGAGCGAGGGTGCAGCAGAAGCCGCGAATTGGGGTTGTGGTTTTTTGGAGACATCTGCCAAGACGAATCATAACGTGAACGCCTTGTTCCGAGATTTACTGATGCTTGAGAAAAATAGATCTGTATCGTTACAGCCTGTACAAAGTAACAACGCGATCAGTCTGAAAGAGAAATGCTGCGTAATGTAATGGGCCGAAAGTGGAACAAGAAAAGTAAGAAGAAGTTGCAATCGCATTTTCAGGCGACAAGAAGCTAGAAAACGACGAGAGTAACAGCCTTCATTGTTGTTATTCTTTTGACCCGGCATGGCATCGGCCACGGTAGTCTCGACACGACCAATAGTTAGTACAGATTATATTTATGCTAACAAAAGGGATGATATATATCCTAAAAGGTTACGTGTCGTACAGGGTATATTTAAAATACTCTTTGTTCATTAAGAAGCTTATTCTTGCGCTAGTAATTTTTTCGGAATGTTTCGGATCCTCTTGTGAAATGATTGTATATTGTAAGGTTTATATTCGTAGAAAGACGTGCCGATTGTTCATACGACAATCGATTCAAAACATTAAGATTGCTTTGTAATCTCTTTTTAACGAAACCTTACTCTATACTATCGACAAATTTTTTTCAATTTTGATACAGAGCAACGTACTCGGTCCATCTCCTACGTTTTACAGACCAACGTTCTTTCATATGATATGCACGCGATTCACATATACGTATGGGTCTCATCATTCTTTCATGCGGTGATTCGTGAATCGCGATTTATGTATAATACGCATTCAAACGTATAGAGACTTATCCGATCCAATATTTAATTTTGCAGCACTATGCTTATTCAGTTTACTGCGAATAAGTGATTCTTTAGCCATCGTGTAAATGCCAACATTTGTTTCTATATTTTGTTAGCCGCTTCGAGAAAAATCGGCGGCAGCAAATCAATCGAGGATACACGAAATCTGAATCGCAATGAATTCTGAATTTTACAAGAATCATCGTTTGAATATTTTATATAAGTGTATGATGAATATTCGTCATATATGAATCATGATTCACAAATCGTCGTATAAAAAAAGGCGATTATTTTATATTAGTAAGTTGGTTACATTTTGGCTTTCATCTGTTTGACTATGCCGAATTTACTATGTAAGAGATGCAAGAGATCTTTATACTCTAAGAACCAACAACAAAAAATTGATTGTATTTTACATGCCCAATGAAACAAAGTGGATTTTTCCTGAAAGAGTAACCGGTATAAAATTGTAATAATGAATATATAAGGAGATATATCGAATACGATTCAAAAAATAATATGCTCTTTCATGAAAATCTTCCAAGATCGCTGTCTGAGACTACTGCGATCATTAATTTTGGGACCGTTGTCGCACAAGTTTCTTCAGCTAAGGATATAGCATAAGAAGGAACATGCGAACAAGAAACGACAAAATTAGATAAAAGTTGTTACAAGATTGGTTTTTGTTGAATAGTTGTAAGGTTTTTGTAACGATGCTAATTAGGATTTATTACTCGTCACGTTGATACAAATATATACACAGAAACACACACACACAAATACACAGGGATGAACAGAGAGGTTTATGTATTTACATATACATGTACAAGGTTCATTAGGCACCACACGTTTTCCGTGTTGACCCATATTTTAGTGTTTTCCTCCTGTATGTTGTATACAGACATAGGTTTGTTAGTGTTTGCGAGGAAACGCTAATTAAAGGGACTCGCTGCGAAGGGCTCGTTTGTTCCTCGACTCGAGTTTCGTTCATTTTCACTACTCGCGTTTATTATTGTAAAAGAGGTATCTAGATTAGGTTTGGGCAAAATTTTCAATTTAAATCTTTTAGAATTATAATACGTATATCATTAATATAAAATGAACACGAAGCTATAGCTATTTATAAATTTCATTTTGAGGCACGATTAATAATTTTTAATCAATTTCTATTGATAATATTTGACAAATAAAAAAAAAAAAAAAAGAAAGTTTGAAAAAAATCTTCGGTTTAGAATATAGGAAGTATTCACAAATCGAATAACATCGAATTTGAAGGTAAGTGAATTTGAATTAGATTTTGATTTTGATAAGATTTGAATCTAAGTTTAGTTTAGATTATACTTGAGATTTGATTAGACTTTAAAAGTTTTCTAATCTTAGAACTAGTGTTTTTGAATTTGATATTTTGATATTATGGAATACTATCAGAAAATATAATGATAAAGAATATTTATCTCTAATATATATTTATATACATATATGTGTACAAAATTTTACAGGAGAATAGCTGGGTTCTATTATAATCTATCAATTTGAAAAATTTGCTCAGACTCCACCTTGACTTTGTTGGAGCCATTATTACAATTTCCTCTGTATTTAATTCTTACTCGACACCGTCTCTTTTATTAAGGCTTTCTTTTGTTTAAAAAATTCAATGGAGGCACGAGTGGATGAAAATATAAATTCTAATTTGACCACCAAAATATCTGCGTTTCTCGCTTTCTGTGAACATCAACGAATTATGGTTTCCAGTCACTTTTTACGCAGTCAATTTTCTTCTTGTCTACTCGTGCCCATAAGGGGATTCAATCATAGCTTTAAAGGACGAACAGTGTATTCTCTATTCAGTCCGACATGTTATTGGGATTAATGAAAGCGAATATTATCCCATCGATATTACAATAGACAAACTGTCAGTGTCATTACTGATGATCATTATTATTACTGATGATTATTTCACGAAAGGGGTACATATATCTTGTATTGTATCTTGAGCATACGAGCATATACGTGCGTGCACCGTTTTAGAAACGAGGGCGGTTTCGCGTCGATTCACTTATATTTCAAGATTTATATTATAGCACAAATCTAATTTTATAACTTGTAAATAAGGAAAAGCGAAATTAATTTAAATTCAATCATTATTTAACTATGTTAATTTTTTTTTTTAATTATTGTACATAGTTGAAAAGATGGGAAAGATTTGTGAGAATGTTCAGTGTTGCTTTAATTTTTCGATAACGTGATGTATACATGCATATATGCACACATGCATTAACTCATCTGTATGTGAATGTATGTACATATATGTTCACTATTATATTTAGATACAAGGTTAAATAGAGTTCAGTCAAAGGCGAATCTGACCTTATGAAATCGACCCTCGGCAAGCTAAAAGAAAGAAAAGAGAAAAAAGAAGACAAGTTAGGAGGAGGAAAAACGAGGAAAACACACATACACACACATGCGAATTAAAAATCGGTAAATCGCATTCTATGATTTTTTCGGGGCCATACATAATTGATGTATAACTTATAAAAATTGCGAGCTTCTTCCGCGTATTCGTAGATCAATTTTTATTCTTTTTATATTATTTGTTAAGAATTTGCAATCATAATTTTTTAATTTAATCCTTTTTTAATCACGATTAATATTTAAAGTTACATTTTTGAAAATTTTTATCTTATCGAAGATTCACAACACAATTTTCTATCTGCACTGGAAACTCAGTGCTCCTTTTACCGAATATTGATGGACAATTTTGTAGATTTTACCGAGAAATTGCGAAACTATGCTTCTTTTTATACTTCGAATTGATAAATTCGTGATTTTCAAAGGATTAATTTCGAAGCTTTCTGGTGATATAAACAATTATGTTATAACGGAGATTTTCTTCAGTGAAGTCGGATATGTATTACGTCCTCGTTCGAAGAGTGCGCGTTTTTGTTGCGCATGCGCCGATCGCGCACTCTGTGATTTCGAAAAGTTTATACGCGCAAGCAGAATAACATACACGTATAAATTGAGAGCATCAATTTTTTATCGTGTTATAATTGCTAAGGCACGCACGACCACGAAACATAGAAATCACGAAGGATCTCTTACGATATTACGCTTTATTTTTTATTGCGTCTATATGAATGTCTGATGTCTGTCTCGATAATTCATAATCCAATCGAAGTTATTATTCGAAGACGAAAAGAATTAGAACAATTTTATAGAAGTTGAATTTGATTAAATAAAAAGTTAAAAAAATATAGGTAACATTAATATCAGATGCATTTATTATAGAAATTTATAGATATAATTAATATATAAGAAACCTATAAGTTTCAAATCGATTAAAATATTTGATTAAATTTTTATATGAAAAGTAGGAAATAATGGAGAATGCATTATGAATGCAGCATACAAATATAAATACGAGTGGAATATTATCCTATAAAAATTATATTTAAAGTTGTAAAAATCTAAATAATATACAATAAGTAAGTAAAAATTTTTAATCACTTTATCAATTTCTCTTTTATAATGGTACAGAGATTAAGTGCATATTTGTGTGTGAAATAACTCAAGTTCCATCCTGTTTAAAATATTTATCTATTCGATTTTTCTTCGTCATTTTTCCTATTAAGATTAATTCCAATGAACTTACGGAGAGGGAGGGAAGTATTTTAGTGTGATATCGACTGATTTTATCACTTGAAATAAATTAATAATCATTGTCGAAAATTAAAAAAAAAGAGAGGGAAAAAAAGAAAGAGATATGAAATTCGTCTTCGAATATCGAAGTTCTACTAATTTGGAATGTGAAGAAAAGAGGGAGGTCGTTCGTGCCAAATTTCGAAAAGAATAAATACGTTGTCGTTATTTACGGGAATTTACCTATTTAGGCTTAAGCTTGTTGTTAAGTGATATGATCGATTTTAAAACACGCATTCTCTCTTGATATCATATTCGTACCTTCTCGTTACTTTTTTTAAAGAAGGAGAGAGAGAGAGAGAGAGAGAGAGAGAGAGAGAGAGAGAGAGAGAGAGAGAGAGAGAGAGAGAGAGAGAGAGAGAGAGAGAGAGAGAG